GTTGGGTTTAACGTCACTTTAGTGAAACCAATGAGCCTCGGGCTGACAAACCCTTGAAACAGGCTGACAAACCTTGACACAGTAGGCTGACAAACCTTGTAACAGGCTGACAAACCTTTGTAACAGGCAAACAAGGGTCAGCATAAGGGGAAAAAGGTTCCACATCTGAGAGTACCTCGGGACAATAAGCTGATGTTACACAGGACATTTAAAAGATAAACAAATATTATCAAGGTAGGTCAAATCCCGATGAGTCGAATGCCGGTGTCTCGAATATTATGCATAACTCGAAGTACCTGTCGGTCCCGACCATTCCCTGTTATAGTTGATTATTTGAATACTGGTTACATCGAATTGTCTCATAAATACACATGATGACTCGAGAAGGAAATTTGGTCCCATGAGATTCAAACAACAGCAATCTTGTATACATAAGCCGAAGTCAGTCAATGAGAAGTTGATTGGTGTAGCAAACTGATCCAATTAACAAACTTATTGTAAGTCTATATGGAACATTGGGAGTATTAATGCTATTAGTGAAGGGACAGACCTTGACTGTTTTATTTCAGTATCTAATAGTTTTCCCATCCCTTGTGTAGTTGTGGACTCACCTCCCAGGGAACATATTTATCAAGACAGGAAAGCTGCTTGTGTGAGTGTCCCTGGGTAAGGCGACCATGGGATGAGACATGCACTGAGCTGCTGCACTGGCTTCAGGCCCTGGCTCTTCTTCGGTCTGTGATAACACAGCAGGTCAGTCAGTTAAGTATTAACAAATATACCTCCCTCTTTATCAATCTCAGCATGTAATTCTGTATCATATTCTGAATCAGGAATACACAGACTATGTATAACACATGTCTAGATTCTGCATTACAAATACCAAGGTTCTGCACCACACATACCCATGTTCTGCATCACAGATACAGAGGTTCTGTATTACATATACTAAAGGTTCTGCACTACACACATACAGAGGTTCTGCACTTACACATACCCATGTTCTGCATCACACATACAGAGGTTCTGTATTACATATACTAAGGTTCTGCATCACACACATACAGAGGTTCTGCATTACATATACTAAGGTTCTGCACTACACATACCCATGTTCTGCATCACACATACAGAGGTTCTGTATTACATATACTAAGGTTCTGCACTACACATACCCAGGTTCTGCACTACACATACCCATGTTCTGCATCACACATACAGAGGTTCTGCATTACATATACTAAGGTTCTGCACTACACATACCCAGGTTCTGCATCACACATACCCAACTTCTGCATCACACATACAGAGGTTCTGTATTACATATACTAAGGTTCTGCACTACACATACCCAGGTTCTGCATCACACATACCCAACTTCTGCATCACACATACAGAGGTTCTGCATTACATATACAGAGGTCCTTCTGCATCACACATACCCATGTTCTGCATCACACATACAGAGGTTCTGCATTACATATACTAAGGTTCTGCATCACACATACAGAGGTTCTGCATTACATATACTAAGGTTCTGCATCACACATAACCAGGTTCTGCATCACACATACCCAACTTCTGCCTCACACATACAGAGGTTCTGTATTACATATACTAAGGTTCTGCATCACACATACCCAGGTTCTGTATCTCACATACCAAGGTTCTGTATCTCACATACCAAGGTTCTGCAGTATGCATGAAGAGGTTAAGTATCATGCATACCAGGGTTATGTATCATACATGCCGGTCTCTGCATTATGCAGACCCTATTTCTGCAATATGTATACCCAGTTTCCACATTATGCATATTAGGTTGTATCACACATACCAATGTATCACGCGATTCCATCTATTTCATGCACACCATGGGTCTGCATATACCAGGTTCTGTATCATGCATACACAGTCTGCATTATGTACACACTAATTTTGCATTATGCATACTCATGTTCTGCAATATGCATACCAGGTTCTGTATCTCACATACCTATGTATCATACATGCCTAGTTTTCTGCATTACGCATACCCAAGTAATGTATCACATATATACCAAAATTATGCATTCTACATAGCCATGTTCTGCATCACACATACCCAGGTTCTGCATTACACATACCCAGGTTCTGTATCATATGCTTCATCTCCTCCAGAAGCAGCCGACACACTGTGACACTCTTCTCCACATGGACCACACACGGGATCGCTTCATTCTATGATGGTTGTCCTTTTGAAGTTGCATGTCATCAATCAGACGAGACATGCTAGGACAAACAAACACAGCAGGGTTGAATGCATCAATCCACACAATTGTCCCAACCCCTTTCTATCTACTCTAAAAAGAACTCTACCAATGAACATCCACATGTGTCCCTTCCAATACCCCCAAATGTTCTTACCCAAACCCTCTCAGTTGACCTGTCTGTTCACATTCCCTCACCTGCCCCAACTCTTCTCATCTGCCTCAACCATGTACCTGCCCAACCCCTCCACATGCCCCGATCTCCTGTTCCATCCCTTCAGTTGCCTTGCCCCTACACATAACCAAACCCAATTCCTCCTGATTCACCCTTGCAATAGCCCCACCCCAACAACTGTCCCAGTGCTGAACCTGACCCAGCCAGTCCCCTGCTCTACCACCCAAACCACTAGTCTCTATAACTGGCCGACCCCTGGGACTGTCCCATTCTTACAAATGACCCATCAAATCTCCTGCTCCACCCCCACAACTGCCCCATACCAGACCCTCCCTGCACCTGCCCTACCCCCCTCACCTGTCACTCTGTTCCTTGTTCCTCTGTTTTTCTATCAGATTCTGCTCCTCTTCGTTATTGAAGGTCTGCAGACAACTCTTCCAGTAGTTGAAGTCCACTGTCCGCCTCACCTTCATGATCTGGACCTTCTTCATGCCGTCCTAGAGGATGAGAACACCCCGTGTAAATGTTGTAACATCTGTCACTTGTTCTCCACACCGGCACTTCTGAATATAGTCTACAGATCATTACTCATGGGGATAACACAAGGCAGATATGTTTCAGCAGTGACCATGATAGACTATAAGACCTTGATATGGCTGTGGTGTTTAGCATCATGTCTATCTGTCTTCATGTCTGTCTTCATGTCTCAGTCCACATGTCTGTCTGCATATCTGTCTGTCTACATGTCTGTCCACATGTCTATCTCTCTTCATGTCTGTCTGTCTTCATGTCTGTCTTCATGTCTATCTGTCGTCATGTCTGTCCACCGTCTCTGTCTTCATGTCTGTCTGTCTTCATGTCTGTCCACATATCTATCTGTCTTCATGTCTGTCCACATATCTATCTGTCTTCATGTCTGTCTGTTTTCATGTCTGTCTACATGTCTGTCCACATGTCTATCTCTCTTCATGTCTGTCTGTCTTCATGTCTCTGTCTTCATGTCTATCTGTCGTCATGTCTGTCCACCGTCTCTGTCTTCATGTCTGTCTGTCTTCATGTCTGTCCACATATCTGTCTGTCGTCATGTCTGTCCACACGTCTCTGTCTTCATGTCTATCTGTCTTCATGTCTGTCTTCATGTCTGTCTGTCTTCATGTCTGTCCATATATCTGTCTGTCTTTCGTGTCTGTCTTCATGTCTGTCTGTCTTCATGTCTGTCTGTCGTCATGTCTGTCCACATGTCTGTCTTCATGTCTATCTGTCTTCATGTCTGTCTGTCGTCGTCATGTCTGTCCACATATCTGTCTCTCTTCATACCTGTCCACATGTCTATCTGTCGTCATGTCTGTCCACAAATCTCTGTCTTCGTGTGTGTCTTCATGTCTGTCTGTCTACATGTCTGTCTTCATGTCTGTCTGTCTACATGTCTGTCCACATATCTCTGTCTTCATGTCTGTCCACATGTCTATCTGTCTTCATGCCTGTCTTCATGTCTGTCTACATGTCTGTCCACATGTCTATCTCTTTCATGTCTGTCTGTCTTCATGTCTGTCTTCATGTCTGTCTGTTATGTCTGTCCATGTCTGTCTGTCTGTCTTCATGTCTGTCTTCATGTCTGTCTGTCTTCATGTCTGTCCACATCGTCTGTCTGTCTTCATGTCTGTCCACATGTCTGTCTGTCTTCATGTCTGTCTGTCTTCATGTCTGTCCACACGTCTGTCTGTCTTCATGTCTGTCCACATGTCTGTCTGTCTTCATGTCTGTCTTCATGTCTATCTGTCGTCATGTCTGTCCACACGTCTGTCTGTCATGTCTATCTGTCTTCATGTCTGTCCACATATCTGTCTGTCTTTATGTCTGTCTTCATGTCTGTCTGTCTTCATGTCTGTCTTCATGTCTATCTGTCGTCATGTCTGTCCACACGCCTCTGTCTTCATGTCTGTCTGTCTTCATGTCTGTCCACATATCTGTCTGTCGTCATGTCTGTCCACACGTCCTCTGTCTTGATGTCTATCTGTCTTCATGTCTGTCTTCATGTCTGTCTGTCTTCATGTCTGTCCACATATCTGTCTGTCTTCGTGTCTGTCTTCATGTCTGTCTGTCGTCATGTCTGTCCACATGTCTGTCTTCATGTCTATCTGTCTTCATGTCTGTCTGTCGTCATGTCTGTCCACATGTCTATCTGTCTTCATGTCTGTCTCGTCATATGTCTGTCCACATATCTGTCCACATGTCTATCTGTCTTCGTATGTCTGTCTACATGTCTATCTGTCTTCATGTCTGTCTGTCTACATGTCTGTCCACATGTTTGTGTGTCTGTGTCTGAGCCGACCAGTCCTGGTTTCTTCCGTTACAGACAAGATTCGGGTAACAACAAGTAACATTCCGACATCTTTTTAGGCAGGCGTTCTATCCACGAGATGGAGGTGGATCTGATATCCTGACAACTGATGACTGTATGCGACACATTACCTTCATGTCCTTCTTGACACACTTGCAGCAAGCGGGCATCGGTAGTACAGCTGCTTCAACTTCCTCCCACACCACCGACAGGAACATGCACATGTAGCTGATCAGTGTCAGTGGTGGAGGTAGAAGTGAGGACGCCTAACTTCGTCAAAGTCCGCGATAATGGTGTAGCGTTGGTACTTCCATATCTCCTCTGCTTCATTGCTGATTGAGTTAGTGTCACTTTTGGGGTTCAATACAGAAACTACATGTTAGAAGTTCACAAAAATATGCTTTAGAACAATTTTCCTTTTGTACATTCTGCTAACAATGTTACACTGAATTGGAAAAGTACCTATATTATAATAACTTACAAATCACAATACCTACCTGTGACTAAAAAGCTGATTTGATTACCTCAGTAGTATAAACAAGTATGCCTTTATAAATCTAAAGGTAGATTTCGAAATATTTTTAAATTGTTGTTATCTGGAAACATATATTTAATCTGATTAAATCTACAGGTAAGTTTACCTACTATATGATCACAGCTTGTAAGCATCTCAAAAGTAACAGCACTACCAGAAAACTACCTGAACATAGCATAGAGCAGGGTGATGAGGACCAGCTTGGTGATGAGGAGGTACTGGATCACGATGGCATAGCCCCTGAGGCTGCTGTAAGGGCACCGGTTCAATTTGTCATTGGCTGCAACACAAGACAACACCTGTCACTAGCTGCAACACAAAACATCACCTGTCATTAGCTGCAACACCAAACATCACCTGTCATTAGCTGCAACACCAAACATCACCTGTCATTAGTTGCAACACAAAGCATCACATGTCAGTTGCAACACAAATCATCACCTGTCATTAGTTGCAACACAAAACATTGCCTGTCATTAGTTGCAGCACAAAACATCACATGTCATGTCATTAGCAAAACAACAAACATCACATGTCATTAGTTTCAACAGAGAACATCACCAGTCATTAGTTGCAACACAAAATATCACCTGTTAGTAGATGCAACACAAAACATCGCCTGTCATTAGCTGCAACACAAAACATCGCCTGTCATTAAGTTGCAAAACAAAATATCACCTGTCATTAGTTTCAACCAGAGAACATCACCTGTCATTGGTTGCAAAACAAAATATCACCTGTCATTAGTTGCAACAACAAACATCACCTGTCATTAGTTGCAAAACAAAACATCGCAGCCTGTTATTAGTTGCAACACAAAATATCATCTGTCATTAGCTGCAACACAAAACATCGCCTGTCATTAGTTGCAACACAAAACATCACCTGTCACTAGCTGCAACAGAGAACATCACCAATCATTAGTTGCAACACAAAACATCGCCTGTTATTAGTTGCAACACAAAACATCACCTGTCATTAGCTGCAACACAAAACATCACATGTCATTGGCTGCAACTCAAGACAACACCTGTCATTAGCTGCAACAAAAACATCACCTGTCATTGGCTGCAACACAAAATATCACCTGTCATTAGTTGCAACAACAAACATCACCTGTCATTAGTTGCAAAACAAAACATCGCCTGTTATTAGTTGCAACACAAAATATCACCTGTCATTAGTTGCAACAACAAACATTACCTGTCATTAGTTGCAAAACAAAACATGCGCCTGTTATTAGTTGCAACACAAAATATCATCTGTCATTAGCTGCAACACAAAACATCGCTTCCTGTCATTAGTTGCAACACAAAACATCACCTGTCACTAGCTGCAACAGAGAACATCACCAATCATTAGTTGCAACACAAAACATCGCCTGTTATTAGTTGCAACACAAAACATCACCTGTCATTGGCTGCAACACAAAACATCATGATGTCATTGGCTATTGCAACTCAAGACAACACCTGTCATTAAGCTGCAACACAAAACATCGCCTGTCATTGGTCGCGAATACAAAAAATATCACCTGTCATTAGTTGCAACAACAAACATCACCTGTCATTAGTTGCAACACAAAAATATCGCCTGTTATTATTGCAACACAAAAATATCACCTGTCATTAGTTGCAGGAAGAACAAACATCAGCTGTCATTAGCTGCAAAACAAAATCACCTGTCATTAGTTGCAACAACAAACATCACCTGTCATTAGTTGCAAAACAAAACATCGCCTGTTATTAGTTGCAACACAAAATATCACCTGTCATTAGTTGCAACAACAAACATCACCTGTCATTAGTTGCAAAACAAAACATCGCCTGTTATTAGTTGCAAATAATAAAATATCATCTGTCATTAGCTGCAACACAAAACATCACCTGTCACTAGCTGCAACAGAGAACATCACCAATCATTAGTTGCAACACAAAACATCGCCTGTTATTAGTTGCAACACAAAACATCACCTGTCATTAGCTGCAACACAAAACATCACATGTCATTGGCTGCAACTCAAGACAACACCTGTCATTAGCTGCAAAACAAAACATTGCCTGTCATTGGCTGCAACACAAAATATCACCTGTCATTAGTTGCAACAACAAACATCACCTGTCATTAGTTGCAAAACAAAACATCGCCTGTTATTAGTTGCAACACAAAAATATCACCTGTCATTAGTTGCAACAACAAACATCACCTGTCATTAGTTGCAACACAAAAAACATCGCCTGTTATTAGTTGCAACACAAAATATCATCTGTCATTAGCTGCAACACAAAACATCGCCTGTCATTAGTTGCAACACAAAAAACATCACCTGTCACTAGCTGCAACAGAGAACATCACCAATCATTAGATTGCAACACAAAACATCGCCTGTTATTAGTTGCAACACAAAACATCACCTGTCATTAACTGCAACACAAAACATCACATGTCATTGGCTGCAACTCAAGAGACAACACCTGTAATTAGCTGCAACACAAAACATTGCCTGTCATTGGCTGCAACACAAAATATCACCTGTCATTAGTTGCAACAACAAACATCACCTGTCATTAGTTGCAAAACAAAACATCGCCTGTTATTAGTTGCAACACAAAATATCATCTGTCATTAGTTGCAAGAACAAACATCAGCTGTCATTAGTTGCAAAACAAAATATCACCTGTCATTAGTTGCAACAACAAACATCACCTGTCAGTAGTTGCAAAACAAAACATCGCCTTCGTTATTAGTTGCAACACAAAATATCATCTGTCATTAGCTGCAACACAAAAAACATCGCCTGTCATTAGTTGCAACACAAAACATTACCTGTCACTAGCTGCAACAGAGAACATCACCAATCATTAGTTGCAACACAAAACATCGCCTGTTATTAGTTGCAACACAAAAACATCACCTGTCATTAGCTGCAACACAAAACATCACATGTCATTGGCTGCAACTCAAGAGACAACACCTGTCATTAGCTGCAACAAAACATCGCCTGTCATTGGATGCAACACAAAATATCACCTGTCATTAGTTGCAAATAACAAACATCACCTGTCATTAGTTGCAAAACAAAACATCGCCTCGTTATTAGTTGCAACACAAAACATCACCTGTCATTAGTTGCAACAACAAACATCACCCTGTCATTAGTTGCAAAACAAAACATCGCCTGTTATTAGTTGCAACACAAAATATCATCTGTCATTAGCTGCAACACAAAACATCGCAGCCTGTCATTAGTTGCAACACAAAACATCACCTGTCACTAGCTGCAACAGAGAACATCACCAATCATTAGTTGCAACACAAAACATCGCCTGTTATTGGAGTTGCAACACAAAACATCACCTGTCATTAGCTGCAACACAAAACATCACCTGTCATTGGCTGCAGCTCAAGACAACACCTGTCAATAGCTGCAACACAAAACATCGCCTGTCATTGGCTGCAACAGCAAAAAGTATCACCTGTCATTAGTTGCAACACAAACATCACCTGTCATTAGTTGCAGCAGAGAACATCACCTGCCATTAGTTGCAACACAAAACATCACATGTCATTAGTTGCAACACAAAAACATCACCTGCCATTAGTTGCAACACAAAACATCACGTGCCATTAGGCTGCAACACAAAACATTACCTGTCATTAGTTGCAACACAAAACATCACCTGTCACTGGTTTGCAGCAGAGAACATCACCAGTCATTAGTTGCATCACAAACGGCGCTTCTGTTATTGGTTGCAACACAAAACATCACCTGCCATTAGTTGCAACACAAAATATCATCACCTGTCATTTGTTGCAACACAAAACATCATCGTCATTAGCTGCAACACAAAACATAAGCCTGTCACTAGCTGTAACACAAAACATCACCTGTCAGTAGCTGTAACACAAAACATGGCCTGTCATTAGCTGCAACACAAAACATCACCTGTCATTAGCTGCAACACAAAACATCACCTGTCACTAGCTGTAACACAAAACATCACCTGTCACTAGCTGCAACACAAAACATTGCCTGTCACTAGCTGCAACACAAAACATCACCTGTCATTAGCTGCAACACAAAACATCACCTGTCACTAAGCTGCAACACAGTGCATCGCCTGTCACTAGCTGTAACACAAAACATCACCTGTCATTAGCTGCAACACAGTGCATCGCCCTGTCACTAGCTGTAACACAAAACATCGCCTGTCAGTAGGTGTAACACAAAAACACCACCTGTCATTAGCTGTAACACAAAACATCGCCTGTCATTAGTTGGAACAGAGAACATAACCTGTCATTAGCTGCAACACAAAACATCACCTGTCATTAGCTGCAACACAAAACATCACCTGTCATTAGCTGTAACACACAACAGTTAATGTCTAAGGATGTAGTTATTTATTTTTGGAAATCACAATATTCATCATTTCAAAATTACAGGAACAACATCTATTTCCACAAACTGGAGTTGTTATGTAATGATCCAATTATCGCAATTATCCAAACTGAACACTTTCTTCAATAATACATTTGAATTCTCCTGACACATAAATTAGATCAAACTGCCTGTAGTAACTATTCCCTGTATCACAATACACATCTGGGTGCAGCATGATACATGTGTACTTACCACTGCCGGTGGTGCTGGAACTCACTGAAATAGAAGTGAGGACTATACAATATAAACTAAATACGTAATGCTGATTCAGCAATATATAACATATCTAAGTATATACCAGCCATTGTTAACACTGACATTTGGTAGTGATAACTTTCTTTGGGTTTTCAGTATACCTTTACTGACTTTGATCCAGGCTACTGGTTCATGTATGTGAGATGCCTGCATTACGTCAATAAACAAAGATCTGCTTAACAAAGATATATATACACATTGAAAAGATACATTTGGCAAGCATGCAGTGTTGTTACTACTGGGCTTTTCAAATTGTTACTGCACATTTGTACACAAAATAGTAATGTATAATTCAGTAATGGGGACTTATATTGCATATTTTATACAAATATGACGCTTATTTTGAGCTGTGGCTTGTATATTACAGGGCCCAGTTCAACAAAGCCATTTTTTACCTACAAAATTCAAAGTTACCCCTCAGTCTTTGTGAAACGTAGTTTATACATAGTTGCAACTATGTGTTTATGAAATGTCCCTATTACTACAGTGGACTTACCACTGCAAGCCTCTATCGTCTTGTTGTGGTACATGTAGTTGCAGTCCTCATCACCTGTAACAAGTATCGGGGAAATAGCATTTGTCTCAAGTTCACACAAAATGTTCCACTCTCCTACCCAGAGTTCCATGCGGCAAGCCAGCATAGTACCTCTGCCACAGGCCTGAAAAATGTGACGATTCGTCACATCTTGCACCGTCCATTCAATATAATGTACAGATTTCATGAACTCTTTTATTTTTGACGAGTCTACACATCTAACTAAACATCTTTAATAGAATGGTTTAGTTTCACTTAGAAAATAGCCCAAAACAGGTAACACTATTTCGATTTGCGTAGCGATCCTTTGTTTACATAGGTTGTACGGCTCCACGTGCTGTCATCGAAGCCGACGGAGAGCAAACGATGCAGGCAGTTTGATATCATAATATGTACTGGCATAGACCTAACTGTCGCAGTTGTGGACGAATATATATGTAACAATGTAAAACATTATGAAGACAGGGCCGAAAAGCTTTCGTGAGTCCAGTCTCTTCTTATTGTGAATATGCGCGTTTGATTACAAACAAGAGAAAAGTCCGGTCACGTGATATGCAAATTAGCCTGTGGCAGTGATGTTATGTTAAGTCATTGCTGTGCCGGAGTGTGAAAATGTTCATGAGAAAGGTTCCAAATAGCAAGACATGCTTTTGTCTGGAACAACATTCAAACAAATATTTAACTAAAAAAAATGACTGAACTTACATTTAGACCGAAGATTATTCATTACTGCAAATCTAACATGCAGATACATATCAACATTGTTATGCCAGAAGATAGGGATGAAGTGAATTTGGTTGATGATGTCACATGCAAAGAAGACCGAAGTTGCCATGACGACCACTGCTACCAAGTATCCATTGATACCGTACCTCTATATGTTACATCTAGATTGCAGAATCACGTTTTGAAACAACTATACTGAGTGTCTACCTTCCAGGTCATCTATCTTGGTGAGGAACATGGCGAAGAAAGCCCGAGCCAGGGCCTTCTTGATCCCTTCCTGTGTCAGCGGGTAGCTGGGGTACAGCACCGCATGGATCGTGATGCCCCCGGCCACCATCACAATTAGGAACATCCGCATCCACGTCATGAAGTCCTTCCGCACCTACATCAGAAACACACAAGATGGACAAGATCTAGTGACAACGTCATACTCCCAATCCCAATTTCATGAAATTCTACATGTGGATCCCAATCACACCATGTTCCAAAGCATGTCGACCACGGCAACTGAGCAAACAGAGTAGTCCATAAGGGTCACTGAGTCAGTGAGTTACAACTGCTTGTTGTTTAACACCACACTCAGCAATATTCCAGCTAAATGATGGCAGTCTATAAGAACTTAGTCTGGACCAGAAAATCCAGTGATTGATATTAAGATCATAAATCTAGAGGTGAGGTGAGGTGAATTGGGTTTAACGTCGTGCTTGAGAATATTTCACTCATATGACGATGTGCATGAGTGTGTATGTGCGGCTGCTTGTACTAGCCCAGACTGAAGATGGTTTTATAGTGCTAGCCCACTGAGATACCATGCCACAGTGAAGTATGAATACCCCACTCAGACACATTATACTGCCTCGAGCCGACCAGTCCTTGTTGTAGCCATAAATGCCGAGCACCAGACAGGGACCAACAAGTACCATATTTTAACGTCTTTTGGTATGACGCGGTCGGGGATCGAACCCGCGACCTTCTGCTCTCCGGGCGGACGCTCTAATCACTACACCACAGAGGCGGTCCCATAAATCTAGAGAATATACTGGGATAAGATGACATGCCTCAACCACGCCAGTTAGTCTGACTACCCCATTCAAGTTAGTTGCCTCTTATGACAAGCATGGGTTCATGAAGACCAACTCTAACCCAGATCTTCATGGGTGAGATTTGTTTGTTTGTTTGTTGTTTAATGCCGCACTGGGCAATATTCCATCTATGTGAGCCTGACCACACAATCCCGTAAGTCACCTCTTACGACAAGCATTGATTGCTGAAGAACAATTCTAACCCCTTCATGTGTTCACAGGCAAGACAACTATGAGGGGTGCCTGAGTGAGTGATGTGTTTTTCGCATGCTCAGCAATATTCCAGCAATGGCGGCGGTCTGTAACAATGAGTGAGTCTGGACCAGACAATCCAGTGATCAACAGCATGAGCATCGATCTTGCTGGGAACCCGATGACATGCTAAACCAAGTCGTGAAACTGACCAAACTCCATTAGTCGCCTCTTACGAGATAGTCAGCAAGCACATGGGTTGCTGAAGACAACTGAGGCAAGCAAGGGAGGTAACTGCACCTACCATCTTGTTGATACTGATGAGCATGGGTCCCAGGGTGGGGCTCATGGGGAGGAAGACTGCGAGGGTGCGGTAGTAGAAGAGCAGCAGACCGATGCTCATGATGAACTTGGTGGTCATGTAGTCCACGTGCGGGAAGAAGTGCGGCAGGATGCGGAAGATGGGGAACATCAACATGAACAGCATGATGAGGATGATCTCCACTGTCTTCCAGAATATTGGCACTTCTGGATATTTCTGGAAACGATACACAGCAATTCAGGACATTACTACCAAACTGGTCCACATGTTGCACTGATACAGTGAGTCAGCTGGATCTGACATGGCTACAAACTCTATATGTCATCTACAGCCATAAAAATTTATACAAACCTGTAGAGGTTATGAATTCTTTGAAGAAAGTCCTCCTTGGGGTACATATAAGCATTAAAATGTCTATTTTAAATCCTACAACAGTTGTAACTATATTTTTCAATAAAATATTTACAAAACAAAAAACTTGTTTGTCTTGTGAGACCACCCCTACAGGGCCCCACCGGACCCCCTACAACCAAGAGCAGGTAACTCTCGCCGTCTACCTCGTGGTCCACATGTTGCACTGAGACAGTGAGTCAGCTGGATCTTACAAAGCTACAAACTCTATATGTCATCTACAGCCATAAAAATATGTCAGTTTTGAAAACAATTTCACTATTTGGTAATCCAATTATGGCAAAGACCTTAGTGGATAGTGGGGATTTGTGAAATATAATGATTCCATGAATCACCACAGCTGTGACATGTTTCCTGATCTGTGACACACTGATAACATGACATCCAATATTAACTAAGTAAGTCTTGAAATCCTACATAAGATCTAATCCTCTTACAGAACAACTCTCAACATAAGATTATATAGCTAATCCTCTTACAGAACAACTGATAGAATCCCCACCTTAACATGCATACCAGTGACCAGACAAGGAACCAAAGGCCTTTGTTACCATGGTAACATTCTTCATGAAACCATTCATACCATAAATACCAGGGTGGAGGTAGAGATTATATATACAGAGCCGACACCTTAGGCACCAGGTCTTAGATTTTCAAAGCTCTTTTAGTACTAAGATAGTCGTAAGTTAATGTTAATGTATGGCACTTATGACTATCTTAGCACTAAGAGAGCTCCGGAAGACTAGGCCCAGTACATCATGAAGGTTACAAGTGGATGAGTTGAACAGAGCATCAGTTACATAATGGACCATTTACTAACACAAGGTCCATGACCTTTACTACTTAGTGAAACTCTTCCGTATGAGTCGGTCTGACAGACCAAGGACCATAATCAGGGATTCAAACCCATGACAAGTGGATCCCACCAGCTAAGGGACATAACTGTGCAGTGAGTTGCAGTGCCACTGACCACTGGGCCACTCCAATCTCAGTGATCTGTGGACTGTAATGTTATTTACACGTGCTCCATGGTTAGAGAGTTAAAACCAACTCACTTCATCGTTAGTCTATATTAGCTGTGTCATCCATTGTATATTAATTCCAATCTGCTATGCTAAACACCCTGGACACATTCAGCACCTGGTGTCCTGGGACACCAAATAAGTGAGTCGATCACTGATTATATCGCTGCTTCTTTTGATAATGTAAGCTGATTGGATGTTATTTATAGCATTATTTGGACAGACAACAAATCAATGGTGGCCACTGAGTCCAGGGTGATAAACAGATGATTGAGGAGGATTAGCTGTTCAGACATATTTTCTTCACAACAAATGTATGGTGCTGAAAAGGTGTGGCTTATATACTTCAATAAATACTTCACACATGATTTCATTGTGAACAATTTGAACAATTTGAATAAATTTTGAATTAAATGAAAAACATGACAGCAGTCCAGATATACAATGAACACTTTTCATAATCAGATAGTGTACATGATAATTACAAGATAATTACATGATTAAATAGCATATTGAATTTGAGATTTTTAAAGATGTTATTTCTGGCATTACATACTCATGGTAATGACTGTCCATTGGGACAAAATCCACTATGGCAAATAATACGGGCCAACACCTTTCCCCCCAGTGTTATAAATATGTGTACACAAAAATGAAGGAAATATGGTACTTGAACTATATCAATGCCTCTGAAGAACTGTTTCAACTATCTTTCGCAATTCACTGATCAACATCCCTTTTAAGGCAATAAGTTTTCATTTTAAACATTGTGCAATGAGCCAAAAATGAAACCTTTTCTTCAACAAGGGTGAAAATACACCATACCAGAAATGAATGTAGAGCAACTTAACACAGTCTGGTGAAATGAAAGTCAGATATATAGCAGGTATATATGCCACACCCAATGTTTACCTGCTCTCGGCTGACAAAACAAACAAGACAAATTGTTATAGCAGTGTCCATATGAGTCTTAAACATTTAGACCACATATAATTCTATACTCAGCAGCAAACAAACGTCAGTACGAATTCAAAATTAGATAGGCACTGTAATCAAATCATTACAGAAATGGACATAATAAGCTGATCAAAAACATTTTTTGTGTACAATATCTTGACACATCACTGAATAACTCAACAGAATTTCAAGACATTATGTGAACGTTTGCAGTCCATTCAGACCCTTGACTTCAGTATCTAGTGTGACCACCACGAGCGGCAATAACTGCAGCACAGCGTCTATGCATGGAGTGCACCAATCCATTGATGAAGGCCATTGGCACCTGGAACCACACTCTGAGAAAGGCCTGGCGCAATAAATCGGCTGTGTTCGGCCTTGGAATGACATTATTAAGTCTCCCCTGAATTTCATCCCAAAGATGTTCAATTGAGTTTAAATCAGGACTAAGGGCTGGCCACTGCATAATGTTGACACCGTTCTGCTGTAGGAAGTCCCGTGTAGCTCTGGCAGTATGGGCCGGGCGTTATCATGCTGGAAAATGTTGTTCCGGTGATGTGCGAAATGTGGTATGACGTGGGGTCTGAGAGCTTGGTCGATGTAGCACACCGCTGTGATGCCGCCTCCTTTCCCTGGACCAAGGTTCTGGAACACCACAGGACCCACTCTCTGGTTCAGGCCTATTCCACCCCAAACCATGATGATTGCACCTCCCCATGAGTCTCTTTCCATAACACATTGGTCTGAGTAACGCTGGCCACATTGTTGCCATATTCTTGTTCTGCCGTCTGCAGTTGATACGCAGTACCGACTCTCATCTGCAAACAGAACAGTTCTTCATTGCCTGTATCGCCAGTTCTGGTGCAAACTGTAGGGCAAACTAGACGTTCACACCGGTGACGAGGGGTGAGGATAGGTCCACGGTAAGGTCTACGGCAATGGAGGTTCCCGCTGTTAAGACGTCGGCGTACTGTATCAGTACTGATTGGTCGGCCGTGTGTTCCCACTGTCTGGCGTGCTGTTTCGGATGCCTGCATGAAGGGATTCTGTACATGATGTTGCACAACATGGCGGTCTTGTCGTCTTGTGGTCACCCTTGGTCTGCCAGTACGGGGCGATCATTTGTGGTGTTGGTGGCCGGAAACGTTGCTGCAGCCTGTAGATGGTCCGAACGTTGACCTAGAAGTGATTGGCAACAACTTATGCAGTGAGGCCAGCTTCAAGTCTTCCTAGCACCTGGTTCCTCTGAGCTGTCATGAGTCGCGGCATCCTGCTGACGTTGTAATGTGAATGTTTCAACCAGGTTTGGGGGTGCATTTTATAGGGCTGGTCCTTCGAACAGCACATGCAGCATGAGTTGCATGAAAAACATGGAGAACACCGTACCATCTCCTGAGAGATCAGGTTGCGTTTTTGAGATCATTTCCTGGGTTCCATTCTGAGTTGGGGAAGGAATGTCTTTGCTCAGGTAAAGTTGGAGATGTTGTCAAAAAAATGAAATTTTTAGAGTAAAATTAATATTTTTATACTTATCCTGACTCATGTTTATTTGCTTGTCTTCTTCTTCTGGCGAACCTAGTGGAACACTTGTATCTCTCAATTGAAGCTCCCTTCAATAAAAAATCACTCATTAGTACTCACCCCGAGTTATCTCCCTTTCCGTAAGCGCGGGAAGGAGGGCGCCACCCAAGCCCATGTGCCTCACTCTCTCCTTTTTTGTTTTGAGCCCAACACTTTATTTTTCCCGAGAAATCCAAAGTGTTAAGTGGGGAGGACGGGAGGGCTTACCTCATGAGTCAGGATAAGTATAAAAATATTAATTTTACTCTAAAAATTTCATATTTTTTCTTATCCTGACTCATGTTATTTGCTTTGTAGAATCCTACTGGAATAGGAGGTGGGATTATATATACTTTGGATTTTACTAATTAGTGATTTGAACTGAGATGATTGTAATAACCCTAAAGGGAACTTCAAGAAGGCACTGAACTGAATTCCTGCTGTTAAATTAACAGCTGCCTTTAAAATAGAGTTATTACAATTTACTGAATATAATAAAAGTATATAGAACATTAATTAAGCTAAAGCCATTAATGTGGTAGTATAAACTGTTGATAGTTTATAATGAATACTTTATATAAGAACCAAAGTAGTAAGCTTACAATATGCATATATATAAGCTATAACATAACTGTGCCCTAAGGTATAATGATAACTTAAGCTGTATAATAGTAACCAACTACTGAGAGTTTGTTAACTAATACATGTTATAAGAAATGAACATATGATAGAGCTTAAGGAATAACTTAAGCTGAACATATATATAATAGTAAAACTCGTAAAGAGTTGTAAGTATATATATATTATGATATAGAATCATAGTACTGAGCTTAAGATAATATGTTAACTTAAGCAAATATATATATAGATAGCATAAAGCTATTAGTACTGTTATCAGATAAGTATAAAATCAGCAAGATAGACTTATCTTCTAACGTGGAACTGTCAACTGTTGAGCTGAGGACCATGGGACCCCGAAATGGAGGATACCTCAGACGTCCTTGGTGGTGATATCTCTCAGATAATGGTTTGCAAACACCATCTCGGGACCTCCAAAACATCCCTCCATAATGGTATTCACAGAACAATTTCCATGTAAAGCCAAAGTTGAGGCTAGTGCTCTAATTTCGTGGGGATTAGCAGCACTTGGAGGTTCAGTCCAGCTGCCTTGTAGGCTCTTGAGTATGACAGTTCTGATCCAAATAGAAATGGTAGTCTTGTGACACTTCTGTCTGTGAAAGCGGTAGATATAGGGATAAACAATCT